CAATGTTGTCATTTTTATTGAAAATCTTGATCTTTCGCTTTTGAAAATGATACATATTCGTAATAATATTTAGTCAATACCTCCATAAAAAAGAAAACTCATTTCATTTCTTCGTCCAAAAAGTTACTTCTTGGTGTATTTATTTATAAATAATATCTAACAGTGCAAAACGGTTTTCTATTCTAAAAGATTATCCTATTTTTACTTAAATGAAAAATATCTGTTAATTTTATGGTTTGAAAATGCATTCAGTCCATTGACCACTATAAAAATGGATGCGCATATACCTGTTTTTATATATAAATGTCACATATTCTAAAAAAAGGAAAATAAAATTGAAATCGATCCATGCGTAAGCGATAAAAGAATAAATGTTTCTTTTGTTGTGTGTTTTTGCCTTATGACTATCGTTGAGCCCTTTTTAAACTACTATTTCTATCTTTGGAAGAAATATTAAAGACTTATTTAGCTACAAGAGCGCATTATTTGACTGTTTTTGTTTCATTTTTACTCTCTGTTATTATCAAAACTATTTCAAATCTTTGGGTCATATTTGTCGGTCACAAACAGTCATAAGATGATGAACTTGGTACTTTATACTAGTGTATGTTTCGCGTATTGGCTGTAATTCCAATTATAGACACAATTCGAAGAAGCCACGATTCGTTGATAGACAGAGACATTCTGCATTATCATGTGGTCGGAATATTGTATGTATATCATATGTAAATGTCAGATGAGATGTGGGCGGTAAATTCATTGTGTATAAAAGTTTTGATGAAATTTAATAAGAAAAATCAAAATGAATGCATTTGTTTGTGTATGTGTATGACAATATCATACATTTGCGGTTGATGTTGTTTTGCACTCTCATTCTTTCCCTTAACTAAAATCAATATTAGACTATAATAATAAATAGAAGCGCTTATAGGAGTTATTCATGTACACAATAAGTTAAAAACAAAATGCCAAGAATGTGAATTGAAATTCCCGCGTGATTAATGTCGGCTCGATGGAAATTCATGCAAAAAGTTATTTATGTACACTGTGAATATTGTCGTTTTCGTTGTAATGCGAATGAAACTCGAGGCATTTTATTATGACAGTTATATTGGTTTTTGTCAATAAATATCAATTGACGACAAGCTGTATTCGAGCTTTTGAAATGAAAAAAAAAACAGCTCAAATTTCAAGTGACCAAAAATCATCGAAACAAAAGCAATCGTCGATGAGAAAAGGTACTATTCGAAAAATAAGTCGAAAAAAGCAAAAAAACCAGACATTTATCGACAAATCTATGTAAATATGTCTGAATGTTTTCCATCGACTATCCGTTTAGACGCCTTTTCATCACGAAATACAAAATGCAAACAAGTCACCAAAAGTGGTGAGCCGCACGTTCGTTCGTAGCAATTTGAAAATCAGTTTTTATTCGTACGTTCGTTTTTCATTGTTTAACTTGTGAATGAATTGAAGAAAAACAAATTTTTCAATTCCTAAAATAGATTCGTATTGGTTCAAAGGTTTGTTTATTTTATCTAGTGTAAACTTCATCTGCGAAAAAATTGATGAGCAAAAAAAGTGTTCACTTTCAAAATTCAAAAAAAAATCCAAAATTAAAAAAAAAAAATATTTTCCTGGGTTTAGAATGAAGCTATGATTTCTACGAACGGACGAAAATTTTATTTTTAATGACTACGAACGAACGAACTAGTATTTGTATGTATTCGGTGGCCAATATTGGCCGTCATCTGTTGAATAACGGTTGTTGCGATTGTCATTATGCACGTTAACAATACCATCGCCGACAACAGCATGTTATTGCCTTGTGTAGTTATATGATTGGATAGCGCCATACTTTGTGTTGTTTGCAGATTATCCATAAAATAATGATATGGACAATGACTTGCTTCTTTGACTAATGCTGTAAAATTGGGATATCGAATAATTTCAGCGGCCTGTTTGGAAGCAAAGAGAATAGAAAAGAAATATCATCACAATTCTGGGGTGAAAGTTCATTGGAAATGAATTTACGATAATGATTTTTGTTTAATACTTACCACAGAAATGCTTTCATTGGACACACGACAAAATGTCATATGCTTTCCGGTTAAAACGGTTTGTTCAACTCGACGCGTAAACAATGGCTCAGTCCACGGTAACTGATTTAAATGAGCCATAAATGATCGATCATGAAATTCCACCGGATCTGATATAATCAGTTTGTCTGTATGGGGAAAAATGAATAAGAATCAAAATCAATAAATCAAATTTGTGGTTTGTTGTTGATTTATTGTATCTTTCATACGAGACGATTTATAATAAACAATATGCGCACATATCCAAATGACATTCCACATTGTTTCTAATGAAACACGGGTGAAAATTCAAAATTCACAACCTCATTTTTCATTTACACTCAATTTACTATATTCAATTTGCGAATTAATTTCTTTTTTGTTTATTAAACGATTTATTTGTCTCAAATGATTTCTTCATCGTGGAATTTATTTGAAAATGTCGATACTCACTCAAAATGGATTCCTGTTGAAGTGCATCTTCCTGGACAATTGTATATTCTTTTGCATTTTTCAAGGCTTCGATGGCTCTTAAATTGTTTTCGTCATCAATATGGCCTCCTGGTGGAAAATTTGGAAAAACCGTTGTTGGCAACAAATCCAAAGCATTGCTGAATCCCAAAAAATAATAATAAATCAAAATCAATTTAATTACATAAACAAATTTGTGAGTAAAATTGATCATAATTCAATACAAACCCATTGTAGAGAAACAGATTTTCAACGTCAGTCATGTTCATTGAGTTAAATTCGTAAACGCCGAATATTTCAAAGAATTCTTTAACCGGCGTCATACTGTAACAGCCAGCCAAATCAATTTTCGGATAATAGGTGATAAACGATAAGCACATTTCTTGTTTCGTTGAATAACCGCCGAAGGTGGGACGCTTTCGATTCAATGTCTTTATATAACATAAAATGTAACAACAAAAGAAAAAAACGAAATAAATAACGAAAATTCATTCCATTAGACCGCAGACACCCGAATCGATTACATTATTAGCGATTCAATGATTGTCGATTATTATCATGCAAATTCACACAACGTTGCGACACTTACCTCATAAGCACAGTCTGTAATCAGATAGTCGCCCGGTAAAATAGTCGTTTCATTCTCTAATTGGCGCACTTGTTGATAATTGAAATCATAAGTGTCATCTTCAATAATGCGATCCAATTCAATGCCATTACGCACATGGCGCAATTTCATTTTACGGCCAGCCACATGCGAATGCAATGTTGCCGATATTATGTTAATTCCCGTCTCAGGAAACATCTAACCACAACCAAAATAAAATAGAACGAAAAAATAAAAATCAAATTCACTGACATTGAACTAGAAAGAAGAAATGGCATTTTTTCTACGTCTTCAAGTTAATGTAAATGTGAATGTATTATTACCGTTGATGTACATGATGGTCCGCATATTCCAACGTTTCGATAGAGTTTTTGTCGGGGTGGAATTAATTGTGTATCAGATACGGACACACCAGATATCATCATACCACCGTCCTCTTTGCGCAGATGTCGTGTATAGTGAATGCGAAAGCCAGAATGGTCGATTACTTCAGGCGAAAAGGTGAAAGAAAAAGAAATATACACGATTATCGAAATAGGTTCATTGAAAAGGTGCTTTGTCAAACTTACTTCGCTTTGCATTTGGATTGTCGTAGTGAATTTCTAGCATATAATATTTGGGACCGCTACGACCACCCATTGGGATGCCAACATGATGTGGCAAATATTGTCCTGTCAAATAGATTAATTTGATTAACATTTTGGTTTTTTTTTGTTTTCTCTTTAAATTCCATCGTATCTCTTATAAAAATATGATTCCGCTTTTATTTATCAAAACATAAACATTTTACCTGTCGAACTAATCGTCCAAACAGCGACCGGTGTTATACAAGCATCCCAATCGCGTGGCGTTAACAAATTACTATTGCACACGGCACCGCTACTCTTCACCCAAATATCCCATGACATTGGATCCGAACTTGGATACGCTGACGTTGAGCATTCAAATAATGTCATATGATGAACCAATGGCTTTGTAGTTTGACTGGAAATGAATTGTGTTTAATTCAATGGAATGTGTTCAAAAACAAAGGAAGACCAAAACAACCACATACGATATTACATTTCAAAACGTTCAAAATATCATAAGTGGTTAGGTGTCAAACGGAAGCATCCTTTATGGATGATTGAAAACAATGTTTGGTCAATGCAGAAAAACAACTTACGCTTCTTTTGTGAGCAGAGCTTCATAGCCAATGATATGATGTTTATCTTGTAGAGTGGGTGCTTTAAGGATTTTGCACCAATACAACGTATCCATTTCGGGCTCGATGGTAATCTGCAAAAATGAACATGCCTTAATTTTCTGTCGTCCACTCAATCCACAAAATAAATAAATAAAACTTTCTTATTTGCACTATTTTTCCATTGAACTGTTTCTTCATACCTTTTATAGTCATGGATTGTATAAAACAGATCAAATTTGCTGAAGATAGTTGTCTTTTATCAGTTCATGCCCGAAAAATGTATGACGGAACATACGTTCTTTCCAAACTCAGCAATGGAGTTCAAAGAGTGCAAAATTTGTTAAAATATTTGAAAATAGCTTATCTATGGTTTATGTGATGCTATAGTGTTGGATTTCTCGTTGCTTCATCGAGCCAATTTTCAGTTTTTTGCCAAACATGCGGTTCGATGTTGTTATTATTTTAGTTGGAATTATGTCATTTCTTTGAGTGAACTTTTATCGAATTTTCTCTTCGTGTAAACAATATTGTGTTGGCCACAATGTAATGAGTGGAAAAAAGCACAACTGTATATATTTGAAATTTTTGTCAAATACACACTTACGCTTTTGTGCTCGGTTTTCTTTTTTTTATATCACCGGGCGTGTATATCAAACGCACACCATTCAAATGGTTTGTTCAATTTTCATTTAAATCAGCATTATTATCCTTTTGATGAAGTGTCTCATCATCGGATTCGTACATTTTTTTGTAACTAGATTTGAATCGATATATGAAGAAAAATCACGGTAGATATCAATGAGCGATAAGATATAGGGGCTTTTCAGTAAACGACAAATGAATGAAATAGAGCGAATGAAAATCGACCAAATAAATATTCGCATCAATATGAAGGTATAGTATTCATCGTAATTCATTCAAGAGCTTGATGTGTGTGTGCGTGTGTATGTTTGTTCTGGTTGCATCGTTATTTCTATTCAATTCACTAAGAGATTTCGAATAAATACGCGTGGGTGGGCGGGTGCGCACCAACGACACAGAGACATATGTGCTTTCGCCTATTATTAAGGTATCAAATAATTAAATCCTCGGGCTTATGGCAAAATCTCAACGCTAACAAACGACTTGAATTGATCAATGTTGTAACGTGCATTGACGATTGGGCATGACCATACGGTGGTGGCAAGAGCAAAAAACTCATTTCTGCTTCTTGCGCCATCTCATTTCCTGAATATACACTACTGTTTGTGTGAGTTTTTGATACACACACAAGTCAAACGAACAGTAGTGTATATTCAGGGAATAAGATGGCGCAAGACGCGTAATGAATTTTTTGGTTCTTACCGCCACAGTATGGGGATGACACAGAGAACACACACACAAAAATGAACAAAGTCTGACAATTCAATCACAATGTGCTCGTTTCTTTCTTTTTTTTTCTCCCATCGTCATCACACTGTTATCACTTTGAAGCCCATAGTCATGAATGATAAACTTGCGTGCGGTTTTGGTTTTGAATATAAACATAATACACTCTGAAAGCGATTGAAAACAAAAACATTGTATTCGCAATGTGATCCGGATGCATGAGAAATCAAGCTAATCGAAGGCTCAAACGCATCTCAATCAATTGATTGACACTGAATTGTCCAATTTGAATTTCAAATTTTGTACACAATAAACTCGATACTCATACACATTGTCTCGTGCTCGTCTTCTTTCCCTTTGCTTCGCAAGTGGCGCTTCATTTCAACATTGTTTCTCATTTTTGCGTTGCTCTTTCATTCAGAGAAAAATACACGCAGATAAATGAACAAATGGGAAAATACACAGGATGTCATCACAATAACGTACAACCAGTTGATATATAATTTATGTATTTTCCTTTCATAAAATATGAACTTCACTTTTGATAATTTTGTTGGCAAGTTTGTTGGACACGTTTCCGCATTCGAATGTATTTATTTTCTTACTCTCATTATTCGTTCAATATATTTTTCATCATTGTCATATTTGCAATGACATTTATTTGACGTTTTTTTTTTCAATCTTCTGATATATCAAGATTCATAATTTATGCACTAAGAAGAAAACTATATAAATTCGATAATGTGGAATAAAAATGAATATGCCAAAGAATGTTGAAATTTTGATAGAAGAACCTTTTTGAAGAATCTTTTTTTAACCGGAAGATTTCCAGGCACTTGGAAATGTAAATCGACATCATTAGCTGACTGGATCATTTCAATTAAAATAAATGATCTGCCAAAGACTATGAGGAAAAGACGCTTTAGCTTAAGTCTCGACAGTTAGAAAAAAGAACCCGTATAAATTCGTCAGAATAAATGTCACAGTCGTTCTTTCTCAGAAATATGTTATTTTAAAGTGACAAAAATCATCAATGAAATTGACAAGCGCGCGCAAGCACAACGTATCCAAAAAAATATTCAACGGAATCAGAGAGCAGAATACACTCAGTTGATGGTAACGAGTTTCCGGTGAGGAAAACGCAACAACCAAACGGCAATTTTTTCTTCGAACCAAACACATTGGAGTATTTCTTTCAACTACCCGATCAATTTGTTATCATTATAAGCGGCACGTTCACCACCTCCAGCTACATAGTATTTGTTTTTGTTTTTCATCGATGGAAATCATTTTGGGTGGTGTGCGTGTTAATGCATGTATATGCACTTATAACTAGTTTAGTCTGGTCGTATTTTTAGCTCAAATGAAAATAAATAATGCAAAAAAATCCGATTGAACTTACGTTTTTTACCGTAACATCCCACTGACGCATATCACGATTATTTGCGTTGTGGCTTGGATTTGGTTTTTTCCACAATGGTGCTAGCATATGTATCGGCCGAACTCCACTGAATGTTCCATGCCATTTGAGATTACCGTAGATAGGATCTTTTTCAGCATATGTCCATAGCAATTTCATGGTATTTCCCTGTTTAAAATAGATAAAATCGTAAATAAGTTTAGGCAATCCATAGATGTCTCATCAATTAATAAATTAATAATAAATAAACATTGATGTAATTGTCGGGATTTGACATGTAGCCTTGACGAAAAAAAAACGAAGAATAAATAAATTGCAAATGAAAGAGAGATGGATTTTTTCTGCTTTGTTTCGGAAATTCGTTCCATAAATAACGCAAATGAAGAAAGTTTCACGTCATTATAATCCACAGACATGCAATTTTTCTATCTCCGTTGGTTTCTATTTATCAGAATTGCTCACTCGTTTTTTTCTCTTATCGGTTCTTTTCATATTTATGCTTTGTAAATAAAAAAAATGAATTCGCTTGAATATAGACAACGCAATTTATTTGCGATTGAAAATTAACTTACCCCGATGGTTACATCATGCGGATCACATGTTTCCAACGGACGTCTAAATTGAATTTGCGAATGCGTACCATTTTGATAGCCTTCTTCAGCAAGTACATTTTGAGTATCGTCTTGCACTGGAATGGTATTATCGCCGCCGGTTCCATGACAGTCCTGAAATCAATCACAAACAACATTTTCATTCTATATGTTTTGTTTTTTAAATTGATCTTTGCAGCATTTTATTTGCCTCCTGCTCTAATTAATATTACTTCTAAATATTCCGAAATAATGAAGATGATATGGGGACGAAAAACCAAAAAAATAAAAATATAACATTCACTCAACATTTTTTAGAATCTTCCAGAAAATATATGATTGGATTACACCATCATCAACAACAGCAAGAAAAAAAAGAAACGGTTCTTATACACATTCAAGCACATTATTGAAAAATGATATGTGCAACCAGGGAGCATAGTCGCATATATACATAATACATATTTACACAGTACCAAAGTGCCGCACATTACGAACGACGAGACTGAGAAAGGAGAAAACAGTTAGCAGATGGCTTGGAAATGACAGATGTTTTTTTTTTCATTCCATTTCGTTCAATATCTTGCCTCTGTCTCTCTTGATATTTTTTTCGGATTCATTTACTTGCTACTCAACGGTTCAAATTCATGATGAATATTTTTCGTATCGCGGTGTATTGACGAAGAAATGTAACTGTAAAATGAGAAGCTGTTGTTGATTGAATTTTGCAAGTTTAGTTCTTTTTTTATTATTAAATAACAATGCAAAATGTCACAAATATACATATTCATGCATGCATTCGCACGAGAGTGGTCTTTTTTTCTATATATGTGTTCAATTTCACTGCGTGCAGCTGAGGGTTACACAAGATAAGGGACGACCAATTAAATATTTAAAAGAACGATTCAACAATGATCACGATTATTATGCTACCCGATGATTGTTTGAAATGTCTCACATGCACATTCAACTGTGAAAGGTGAACTGAATACAAATGGCAAATGTAAATACACTTCATCGAGAGAAAGTAGGTAATAAAAGGGAAGAGAACGAGAATGATCACTTTGATGTGTGACCGGCCGTGCCGAGGATACAATCTGACAGCGGTGCGTCTGTACATACATTTTATTTAGACGGATGCAAAAGCATTTCCTTCCGTTTCTTTCTTCTTCTTTTTCAATCGTTTTTTTGTGTCTTCATCTTTTCGATGTGGTTATGCACCGGTAACATTCACCAGTATCCTCTAATTCACACGAACTGTGATGTGTATCTCGTGTGCATTGTGGATTTTAATAAAACATTTCAAGTTGACAGTTTGACATTCACATGCCCGAATTGCTCAACAAAACGACCGAAAAGCGAAAAAAAAGGAGAGAAATAAATGAAATGCCATTGCATCGTTGCTGCTACTTCTGTCGTCGGTATCTGTTTTTTCCGCTTGATTTGGCCATGCTTATTTTAAAATTGCAAGAAGCTACTGTCATTTATTTGGTGCCAGTCTAAATTAATATTCAGCATGAAACGAGGAATTATTTTTAAAGCAGCTAATTGACTCTCCAATGTCATACTTTAATTACTGCATAACTCAACTCAACTCAACTCGCAAACACATAAAGCGTGTACAGTCAAATGTGTCGGTGTGAGTGTGAATTTTTATAAGATGTACATTTTTATGGTCTTCTGTGTTCATGTCGCGAGCATTTTGCATTTCCGTTTTTCGTGCATATTTATCTCTTTTGAAAAAAAAAACACACACACATTTAACTGTCATTGATCCGCACACAAAAAAAACGAAACGCGATGTTGTTGGAAGAGATCAGGAATTATGCATCGTTGCATTCGAATATCAACGCACTGCATTCAATAGAAGAATAACAAAAAGTTGTTGAAAAAAATCAACAACAACATGTACACGCCAAATATAAGAATTGCGCTCATTTTAGTACCTTGCATCATGGAAATTAGTTCCATTGATTTGAGATGATAGAGTCTTTTTTGTGTGGTTTTAAATGATGCACACTGGGTTTTTGATGAAAGCGAATTTTTGATGAAACGGTGGAATTTCACGTTGCTGTATCAAGTAACAAAAATGAATTTAAACATAATATTCCAACCGACCATTTACGTCGCTACTCTACCATTGCCGTCATCGCTTTGGACACGAAAACCACAACATTGAACGAAAAGAAAAACTGTGGACAGCAGCTACAGCAAGATGAAATTGACTTTGGGAATTTTTGTGTTGCAATTGAATTGCACCTATTTCGTGTCTTGGTGCATTAGTTGAAAAGTTTATGTCGTTCATAAAATAACCTATTTTACTTGAGCACAATCCAGCAACGGTGGTGCCCGAGCATTGCATTTCTATCTCGATGTGCATTTCGGTGTTCTTTCGAAATTCAAGACGAATATTTCAAATTCTTATTACTTTTGCACGTAAGTTGTGTGTTGCTCAGAATGCCGGATGTGAGAAATAATATTGCTGGCAATATCAACGAACAAAAACAAAACACCAAAAAGAACGTCTAGTTTCGACTATTTCAATAATTCAGTTTATTTTTTACAAAGAAGAGTCTCGCCGTCGTTTGAGATGGTCACGCCATTTGGTTATTACTTTGCATAACCATATTATAAGAGAGAATGAAACTATTTGAATTCTCAATCGAAAGATTTCGTAAAATTGATTTTGTAACATTCTATTGTGTTTGGATAGAGATGAATGAAAATGTAAGTCTTCAATCAAATTAAAAAAAAAGTAGTGCCAAAGTGGAATTTAGCACTTTGTGATAAAACAAATCGGTGTAAAAACTCAAGTGCAAAGTAATCGCCTCCTTTTGTGAATTATATCTCTGTTGAATATTCAGCCACTTTTATTCTCTAGAATCCGCAAAAGCGGTGTATGCAATTTGGAATGCATTTCACGGAAATTCGGTCATAGGTTCATAATATTAATAGCAAGAAAAAGTCATGGCCAGAAAAAGTTGCACACGTTAAACTGGTTTGAATATAGTGAAAATGAGATTTAAATTCCAACCGCAAAACAATCGAAAGAAGAACATTTCGCACAAAAGAATGTTGACGATGATGGTGGTTTCAATAGCGGATTTAGTGCGGATGGTATGTGAAGATAATAATTGATTTCCGATTTTGCAAATGCGAATAAAACAAAGAAAAAAGTACGGCAAACCAATAAACAATACAAAGCGTAGGCCAAGCGAACGAAGTCACGAGACATGCACAAAATAAATTTCATTTTCAACCTTGCAATGCACTCAAAACACACATTTCGGTGCAAATAAGACGAAACATACTCACAAAACCGGCCCCAAAAATCGACAGACATACAATGAATGCACAGCCACCATCGTTCTTGCCATTCAATGAATCAATCGAACAGAACTGCATGTGCATAAAATACACGAGACAGCAAACGAAGAAAAATGAGAGAGAAAACAACACAACAAGAACAAGTTCGATAGTCTTCATTGTTGGGCCAAATGGAATGGCGCATGTAATGCATATATATAGATATGTATAAACGATTATGAACGTGAGAACCGAATTCGCAAACTACCTTCTTGCAATCATTTATTTACGTTTTCTCTTTCGCTTGTGCGTCTCGTTTATTTTTCACCTTAATAAATTGGCGATTACTTGTCTCTTCTCTCATTCGTTTCGGTTTATTATTGTTATTATGATCTTTTTTTTTATTGGATTCGCTGTTATTATTACTGGCATCCTTCTTGTCCATTAAACTTGTCCACCGAAACGACTGACTCGATGTGCGTGTGCACAATGTGCGCGCAAAGATTATTTTTCTTTTCCTCAATATTAAACGATTTAAAAGTGAATTGTGAACCCAGGTGAAAAATAACATCTTCTGCTGCAATGCAACTTTTGTTTGCAATTCCATAACATTTGCATGCAATTTCCCGAATTTTACGTTTAACTTGCTAATCGATTACGAATTGAAAATCAACTTCAAACATTTTTGCAATTTGTCGGTAAAATTCCACTTTGCATTGGTGAAATCAACTTCCGACCGCTTAAAAATTCAAATCAAAACATATGAAATGACTGAAAGATATAAAATATCCTACTGAATTACCACAGAAGAAGAAAGCGAATAAAGATTCTGTGTCGATATTTTGCATGCAAAATACTGGTAGTCGATGCCCTCCGGAGATTCTACTTGCTCAATGAAAGCGAAGAGGGCATTTAAATACAAAATTACGATGTGATAACTTCGTCTTTTTCCTGCATTGTTATTTCTTTTCGTCTTCTTCTGTTGTTTCGATTCGATTTTCTTGTGGCATGCCATATATTACGTATTTTAGTTTCTGTCATTTGATGCACATTTTTCTCTCTTTCTTTTTTTTTGTACTCTTACACACCTTGGCTTCTCTTGGATCATTCGGATTCGCAAACATTTTACGCTTTATCCGCTTCGATATGTTATTTGTTGAAATGAAGCAATTTAAATATACATCACTCGCACTGTGTTCTTTTTTACATGTTTTTTTTTATTTTTTTCTGCTGCTTTTTCTACCAACACCAGGAATTCCAATGATGATTCACTGATTTGTTCGCTCATTTCTCGATCAGTGTTCATTTTAAACCTACAAATCTTGTGTCAGTTTTTTTATTAACATCATTTCAACTTTCAAATGACCAGCATGCAATTTAGCCGAAAACGTTTAATTTCTGAATATTTGCGAGACGATGTTAGATGGGCAGAAATTGCTGCTATGAAAAGATTAAAAATACCATGTAAATAGTTACCATCATTCAGGATATGAAATCTGATTTTATATTGTGAAGCGTGCGCTTCAATGCGATTCTAGAAAATCTGTCCGAAAATTCAAGCTGAAGACTTTTTGATTGAGTTCGGAAGTGTCAATTCTTTTTTTTGCTTTCGCTTCCAATAGTAGTATATGTGTTTCCAACAAGTAACACACATTTTGACGTGATTTTCATTAAATCCAATTTTATGGTTGGCGCATTTGAAGAGCTCTCAAGTACATTGAAGTATACGTGCGCCAAGCATATAACGCACCTCATATGCATGTAACTATTACTATTTGGTCATTTTGTGGTATCAATTACAGTTCACTGGCATGCGCTTAAGTTATTTAATTTTAACTGGTAACAAATGGGCCTTCACTTGCACGATTGCACAGTGCACCGTTCATATGTATGAAATTTCAGACATTTTAAAAACGGTCACACTCGGATATGCCGTTCTCTCTCTCTCTCTCTCTCTCTCTCTCTCTCGTTAACTCTCAAGTCTCAACTGCAGCTGTTTTAAATGTGAAATACCATTGTATTTTAATTCGTTTTTGGTTTTGAGCTGAAGAAGATATGTAACGGAACGAAACGCATATAAAAACCATGTGTGAGAGGATAAAAAATATGATAATATCACCTAAAAGTACTATATTAACCCTCAATGTTCAGAAGGATCTTGGTGCCATTCACTTACATCCGACTAACTGTGTAGGAAAAAGGCACCCACTAATATGGGTGCGATGACTTACGTCGCACAAAAAATACGATCATATTTTTTGAGAAAAAAAAAGTATTCGAAGAAACAGGAAAACGAGGGATTAATGCATACAGAAAAAGGAAAAGGAATTTATTTCGATGAAAGAACACACGGAAAGAATACGAAACAAAAAAAAATTGGCGAAGAGCACATAGAAACCAGAAAATTATTTAAAAAAAAACTCAACACATAGAAAAGCGTCTGTTTTCTTTTTTTTTGTGGGTTGTTTGCGTATTTTTTCTGTCAGGATATCGTGTTGTCGTTATCACATTCGTACTTTTGTCGCTCATTCTTATTCTCTTTCGTTTGTCTGGCCTGGAATGTCTTTTTGTGTACTTTTTGATGTTCAGTTCTCAAATTTCAAATTGTTTTGAGCGTTTTTTTTAAGTTCTTTTTTTTCTCTTCTATCCATTGCTTTCTCCATTTTACCAATGTTCGCCAGCATTTACAATTGTTTGTCGTTTTCCCCCATCTCTTTTACTCTTCATATTTGTTTGCATAGCAAATACACTTCGCCAATGATTTTCTTACGCACACTCATGCATAGAAAAATTCCAAGAAAAAAAAGACACACACAAAAAAAAAATAAACAGAAAAGCGTTGAACGACAATCGAAATTTCGGGGGTTGAAAATGTTGTTCGATGTTGCCAACGCACAAATGCTTACGATAGTCATGACGCATTTAAGTATTTAAGAAACAAAATGTAGCCGCACATGACGTATGTGTTACAAACCAGAAAATCGACCATCTAATGTGCTTCGATAAATTGTGTAGCGCGTCCAATATGCATGCCGTATAACAAACGCCAATATTTAAGCAGTTTTTCTCTCTCTACATAATGCGGCATAAAATGTGTTCCGTTGAATTCAATAGTCCACAAAATAAATCCTATAATTCAACAGATATCCGAAAAACGTCTATTGGCGAAATGTATCGATAAGAAGTTATGGTATGTTTTTATGTTTCCGTCATGCCATTGCATGAAAATGGGGTACAATTCATCGCCGTGGTACTTGATTGTTGGCATTGTTGGTATTTTGTCACCCTTTTTGTCGTTTTCTCACACACTTTCAATGCATAAACCGACAACAACTACTAATGAACTAGCACCGTTAACGAATACACACACACACACATACAATTCAAATCCATTCATTTTTTCCACATAGATTTAACGTCATTTCATTTAATTGACTCTCTTCATTAGTACATTGCATTCGGTATATTTAATTCATTGAATATATGTTGATGATTCGTATATTTACCAGAACGTTTGCTTCACCGGTGCGATCGTCGATCCAAGCGAGAATTATATCGGCATCGCCAATTTTTTCACTTTTATACGAAAATCCTAATCCAATGTATCCGCGTGTATTAACGGTTGCACGAAATATAATATCTTTTTCAGTTTTTCTCCAATCCAATACAAATAGACCGTTTCCATCAAGAACTTCGGTACGAAGCCACTTTGTATGTTGACCACCATGTGAACTATGATGATTGTGAATATGATTTGCAAACACAACCGTCGATTGATTGCACAATACAAATAGTATTGTCACAACACTCACCAGCCAACGTATCACTAAATTTCCGTACATTTTTTTAATTTTCACCCATTTCATAGCACGATCACAAACAAATTTCAATTTCACTTCCTTCTTATTTCTGATTGAAATTATATCAATGTGACAATTTCATTAACAATTCACTTATAAACATCGTAGAACTGGTTAAGCAAACAAAAATAAATTCACTCAACGCGTCTTTGGCTGTTCGTGATGCGATCCAAGTATCACTTTTAATTCGCACGATACATTTAACCTTCTGAACGTTTTAACAACAAAAATTATACTAACGCATTAAATCGGTCGACGTTCTATAGCTAGTGGCAAACAAGCAACGCGCTCAAAATTTCAAACCAAACCAACGGAATAAAAACAACAACAAAACCTTCTGCATTACATACGCACACATGCATACACACACATATATACTGGCACTACGAATAGCATGAATAAGGGAAGAATCGAAACGAAAAACGATCGAGATGCGAAACGGTCGCAACACCGGTACCAAAAACCAAATCCAACACAACACACGGATGGCACACTCACAGCAAAACAAACGATTCGGTTTGCATGAAGTAGCACTGACGAAGTTGAAGAAGAGGGAGACAGCAGATTGACTATTGAGAAACAATTTCGTTTACAGTGAAGAATAGATATAAATAGAAAAAAAAACTAAAACTTTTTGAAGAAGAAAACACAAATCGATCATTCAATTCGATTAAATAAAAAGTGTGCAGTTTTAAAGCAAAATTGACGGTTTTTCTTCAGTCAGTTATTCGTTGGTTTTGTTATATGTATACTGTTGTGTATGTGTGTCAGGTAGGCAATGGTACTTTTTATAAGCTAAGAATATGAAGAAGAGAAAAGAAAGAAGAGAGAGAGATAGAGCAAGAAAAAAGGAACACACGACCATCCGTTACGACAACCGCCAGCATATGCTGAAATGCATCTTGATCCTGTTCCGTCCTCGCTCTTTTGCGCTGCATGTTAGGATTCCAGCCGACATGTGTGCGTGTATTTCAGTCTCTCTCTCTCTCTCTCTCTCTCTTCCTAAAAGTAAGAGGCAATTCCACGATCGTTGCATCGAGGATTGCTTTGTTTGTGTGTATGTCGAATTTTAGTTGATATTTATATTCAATGCACAAGCCACCACTGGCACGAACAAACCCAAATGAAGACAAGAAAATGCATGAATGCTAGACAAAATAAAAAACGAACAAAAAAAAATCGTTTTCTCTTCAACGAAGGAGTATGCATAACGAATAACCAAAGCATTGTGCTGTTGACGAGAGTAAAAGAGGAAACGAATATAGTCATAGGCTTATTAGTGCTGCTGTTGTTGTTATTGAGTTTCGTTGTGTTTGTATTTTCGTTTGCAGCAGCATTTGCAGAAAACGAGCAGATGTTCAAAAAAACAATTTTTTTCGAAGCCACTTTTGTTACGATATTTATGTGTGTGCGTGTATGTGCACAAGTGTACAACGCATCGGAATACAAAACGAGCAGAACGCGCTCAACTAGTTTAAACACTCCTCGTTATATATTCCATACAAAACGAATGAAAAAAAAAACTAAACGTAACATTCAAGCACAAACAATTGAATATAAACGTAGTATTTCAAACCCCAGTTTTTTTTGCTCTTGATACTCATAACCCATATGCAGATTCACCCGATATGTGGAGAATATCATATCGTCTAAAATGATTACAAAACTTTTATACCCGTAACCAGAGAATCTTGACCACAACAATCATTTTCAGAGCAACCAAATTTATACAAACGGACAATACGCTCGTTCTGCATATAATCGGATATTTTTTCTTCGCTTTAAAAATGCACGCATTCTCTTTATTTCGCAGATGAAATTCAAGATTTAATAAACTTTTGCATAATGTTTAAGGTCGTTTGAAGGCTATTCAATGCGTTGCTTCTATTTTATTGAGTAAATATTGCCAACACCAACGGCTCTTTTTACTTGTTTTGAATTACATACAAATGCGAACTGATTTCAATTACTTTAAAGTGAGAGTAACAATTTTACGAGTTTTTGATCATCCAATGCAACACCAGATATATTTAGAGCAAACACTCGAACAAATGAAAAATGCATGAGCATTGGTTACTCCTAAATTACTATTATTTTTCAACATTTTTGAAGTTATATTATGGAGAAAAGAAATAATTTTACCAAAAATTGATGCAATGTTCCTCATTTCAAAAGATGTAATATTTTTTTTCGTTCACATACTGCTGTTTAAGTCACATATATATATCATTCTCATAGAATTGTATTCAAACACATATTGTTAGAAAAGTATATTGAACCGAAAAAAGCATATTCACTAAAAAAAATAAAGGTAGTTTTTTTTCTTTCTGGATAAAATCGCATATCGCATATAAGTTCTCGATTCAAATAGTGATGTTAAACCATGCGAAAAGTTGTTGAGTTGGCGATGAATCAATGGCAATGATAAATATCCACTAAACCATTCGGTGGTGAGTTTGATATTTTGCAAATGCAAACATAAACCAAATACTTTGAAAGTTTGTAGAAAATTCGTCAAACAAAAAAGTTAAATTTTAAAATGTGTGCATTGACTTTATGAAAAATGTAACAAAGTCGAAGCGCTTGCAGTTTTCGCACGAATCGATATGACTAAAAAAAAAGTTAAAATGTGAGCGTACATGTAAAACAAAAGTTATTTTGTTCGAATTAGGTTTGTATTCAAATCAAATGCGTGCCAACAAAAAACGTTTGATCAAAATGGATGGACACAAAAACCATTATCGATTGCAATATATGGAAGAGCAATTGTATGAATTGATTTTCAATAATGACAATCACAATTGAAGTGCAAATATATTGACTGCCATATAAATTCAAACGACAGAAGGAGGGGGTGAAGAATTTAAGTAAATATACACATAAAATTGTGTCTATTCAGGCGTTAGTTTCGACTCTGTCAGTTCTTGAATGTCCCTGTCGCCCGTTTGAATGTCCAATGAACGATATAGCATATGACACATAGACTCAATTCCAACGGCAAGCGTGTATACGTTTTATGTTGATAGTTTCAAATAAATAAAAAATCAATCGCTTTCTCTAGCATAGCTTAAAGTTAATCGAGTATGCACAATGTAAGCATTCAAATATTTCAAGCGTCTGATGATGCTTGGCCGGTGACACTGTGCTACCAACTATATAAACAAACAAAATTGCTGCTATTGGCCCTGTTGTTGCTGCTGCAGAAATTAGATACTTTGGCCAGTTTCATTTGGAAACAGAGAGAGAGAAAAAAACATTGTCACACTCATCCTCGTCCTGTTTAATCTGTCGCAATGTTGTGTCGTCTTTTGCACAACCAAAATGTTGTATTCGATGAATGCCATCTATAAAAGTGGATAGTCATTGCATTCCATGTCATTTGCATCCAACATAAAAGTCAGTTTCACCAGTTTCTAGATTCTGTGTTATACTAATGTTGATCGTGGCTCATTTAGATCTCTAATCACATTATTCACACCGTATTAAAACCGAAGAGAGAGAGAGAGAGAGAGAGAGAGAGAGGGAGAGAAAATCATCACATTTTCTTTGTAGCATCAGCATGTTTTCGTATCTTATTTCTCTAAATCATTGTTTACATCCACAAATTGATTCGCATTCGGATAATTCGAAATAGAATAATGTATATGTATTTTTTTGAACCCCAATTAGTTTGGTTTACTTCGAAAATAGATTAAAAAAGGAAATGATAACAAGTAGCTAAGAGTACGAAAAATATCCGTAATTAAGGTATTGACATACATTTTTTGTCACACACACAAACCATTCTATTATGTACACCGACCCGTCTGCGTTTAAATCTCGGGTTTGGCTGGCGCGACAGTCACTCGCACATTTTTCGTACACACAAAACCACTAATTATCGCTACCAAATCTCCTTTTGTCGCTTTGTGTGTGTGGGAGTGGTTTCTTGTGCGAGCTTCAGTCACTCACTTCTTATGAGTTCAATTGTAAATCACATCGATTAAAGAACAAATATAATTAACGAATAGATTTAAAATTTCTGTAATAAAGTGAAGTTCGTTTGTGAAGTTTTTTATAAGATTTGCTATTTTTGAATTTTCATACATTTACATTTATTCACTGCAAACGAAGAAAGATTGAAAGAATATTTAGTGAATAAAAAACAACTCGATGGGTTGTATTAGATGAACTAGACTGCGGTTGTGAAGCATTTCATTTCAACGAGTTGACTTCCAGCTGTGATAACGATGAAACTCAATTCAAAATGATTTTTGTTGCAATTTTCAAGAATTATATCAAAATCCAGACACACCATGCATCTTGTCATTTCTTGGCATTTTTTTTCCTTTTTCTTTCTCTCTTTTTCTCAATACCGCATCAAATTCTATGAAAAGTATGAAAATCCAATTTAATTATAATGCCATTTCTCGTACATCTAACTCAAATACGAACGAGATATGGCTATAATGGATTTATATCGGACTTAATATCATCATTGTTTGAATCAATATGCTATCTAGGCTTGTCGGATTTTGTTCCTTTCGGAGACTACTTTGTCCGATGCCATAATTTGTTCACATTAAAAAGTCAAATTATGGATACTGAAAACACTACGCGGATAGTAAAGTGAAAATGATATGTTTTTCTCCAGTGTATCAGTATCCATCATTTGAGGTCCACAAAAATATCACATTTGGAGATTGAAACTACAAATTTTGGCATTGGACAGAAAAAGTCTCTGGCAAACATGTAAAAAAAATTGAACCAAATTATGGCGCGATACTCAATAATTTTTCATTTATTTATTTGGTTATTAGCGTATATAATTTTAAGCTGGAAAGTTGATCACTATATTTTGATTGTGATAAACAACGATAAACGTAAAACAATTCATATCTGCGCACATGTTTAATCGTACATATTCAAGGAATATATTGACAAGTTCATAAGCCATGTATTGTTATCATTTTTTTTACACATTCAATGCAATCATTTTTGTTTAATTCATTTTTCGAATTTATAATGCACGAAAAAAAAAATGCAACACGAATTGATAATTAATAATGATACCCTATAGGGGGTTCCGACTTATACGAATGTTCCATATGCGAGCGAGTTTTTCCTATATATTTTGCAAATGGAAACGAATGGTCGCAAATGTTTCATACACATTTTGCGAATGGTGGCGGATGTTTCATACAAATTTGCGGACGGTGTCGAATGTTTCATACACATTTTGCGGATGGCGCGCATATGAAAAGTCATATTTTTACATTCAAAAAGTCAAAGTGACAGATTAGGTGACAGAGATTCAAGCTGAATTATTTAGCTGATATTTTTTTGGTAATATTGAGTGAAATTTTTCTAAAATGGTAAATAAAACTTTGCCACTCGTAATATAATCACTGTAAACGGTGCCTTGTGAAAGGATTTTATTTTCATTGACGTAACTTACAATTTCTTTTATATTATCTGAATTTATTTCTAAAATCTCACTTTTCGAATCGAATACGGCTTCTAAAATAATATTCAACAAATAATCTTCAACTGTATTTCAAATTTAGTTGAGAACAATGACATTGTGTTTGAAACTGCCACGACAAACTGAACACAGCAATGTGTATGTTATGTTGTACACGACAGTTTGTCGCATCTAGCAATACGTATGCGGCGTTCGCGAATGGTTGCGAATGAAATGTACGAATTTTCATAGATGTTGATGCGGATGAATATACTTTACTTCGTATATTTCATGTATCAATAGGAAAATGTTCATATATTTCGTATAAAATGGCATTCACATATAGTAAAATGCCCCTAGATGATAACCAATCAATCATCAAATTATTTTTCGCGTGTGTATGTCTAGACATTTGAATATATTTGTTTGCTCGCGTTATTCTTTTCAGTTAAATATATTTATGATATGGGTGTAGAGTGATCGGTTTGTAAGTTATAATTTTTTTAAATGTGAAAATGCGTTATTATTAATATTGCACAAAAAGCAGAAATTTCTGAGAGAGAGATATAAATTTAAAAGTAAATTTGTAACGTTCTAAAATGACTTAGATGAATGAAATAGCACATATGATGACTTTATAGTTGATTGATAACAAAATATTTGATTCAGTCTTCTTATCGGAATATATTGTTTGACTGTGTTGTATACTGCATCGTTTCAAAGAATGTTTGTTCTTTAGAGAACTCAAGTCACTTGAATCAAATGTAATAATAATTTGACTTTGGGCTAATTGTGCTCGTGTAAATTTGTTCTCACTATTTCCGCATTTTTTTTAATACTCTAGATAGCTGTTTGATAAATTCACAGTATTTAAGTTTCTCTTATTAAACTATCAAAAAAAAATCAGATTAAATGGTCAGAGTAAAGAACCCCAGACAATCGTATCCTGTTCATTTTTGATTCTTATTCGTGCATAGTTCTTTGTCAATAAAACAATTCTGAATTGCATACCAGTGTCACTAATACTACTGCATTTTCATATTAAATATTTGTAAGCGAAATTTCTATGGAAATTCTAGACTTTTTGAAGCAAAAAGAAACATCTTTGTTTTACAATTACGATTATACAGTTTTGCTACTCTTAAAGTCATAAACTTATGTACGTATCATCAAAGTTGTCATTTTCTTTGTTTTTTCAAGTTTTCTGTTCAAACAATTAGTAAAAAACAAAACAGAATAAAATGAACGACTTCAACTGTTAATTGAAAAGTTTGTTTGTGTTTCTGTTATCAGTGGAAAAAGAATAAGAAATTAATTATATTAGCGCTATAAAGTTATAAATTACTTTTATTGCTTAATAATTGAATTGAATTGTTTGTTTTGTGTTTAATAGTTTGTTTTTGATATAACATCACTATATCATTATATATAAATTGTCGGCGATGGAAAATACCTCACATTTCCTTCCAACATTGCATAGAGATTTGGTGCGAGAAAAAAATCTCATAAATGAGAAAAACGTCATGTCGCAATATTATTTGCAAGGGGTAATGTCACAACAATATTAATAGCGAATAAGTGACATTTTTCTTACTGAAAATGAATTTAACTCCCCGCAATATTTCCAAATAGAACATTGACGCCCTCCCACATAAACGGATATTTTAAAGTTAACAATTACTGAAAATATGCAATTGTTATGTTATAATATTTTGAAAATCTGTAATGACACCTGTGATGGCGTTAGAGCTATATGCAATTCTAATTATTTCAGGGTGGAATTTAACTGTTGAGCGTAAACTTACTAAACACTACAAATTTTATAGTTATGACATTCCCCCTGATTTTTTGACAGAAAATAATAGCTAACATTGTTGACCACATCAATCCATATGAGCATAGAATATCATCAGTGTTATCAAACATTGTGGTATATAATATACAGTATATGTACTTCCGAAAATCTATAAAATTTATCATAGTTTCGTTAGTAATGTAACTGGTTAAACAAATGAAACATCAAAAATTAATTGAATGTAAAGTTTGATGCAAAGCCACGTAGATAGTTGAGAATATGTGTAAAAGTGAAATTGGAAACAATTTTAATTCGAGTGCATGATAAAACATCGCAGTAATTTGAGTTTTAGATTATAATTCTTTATTTTTATTCGGTGTACATTGATTCGTGACCATGTGCCGCTTTTCGATTGAAAATAACAACATCAGTATCAAACGGCCTCTCTCAAAGCTATTGTCAGCCTAAGAATCCAATCGAACCACATTACTATTGATTTTATCTATGTTATCAGTTCATATATACTCTTTTTTTTCTCTCTCTCTTTCTCTCTTCCAATCGACGAATTTATGTTTGTTGAGGTTGATTGAGTTCGATCAGTAAATAAGCCTCGCAATCCGTTTATCAGTTGTTAAATAAATATAAAAGCGGAACGAAGTTCGCGTTTAAGAGTAAGAGAGCAAGTGTGTGCATAAGCAAACGATAAGTGCTCGTGTTGATATCTCAGTACTGAGAAACTGAATGTTTTTGCTCGTCAAATCCAATCGCATTGTGTTTGGCGTTTATTTTATGCATACATTCTTTGTGAGATATCGTGAGTAGTGAGTTGCGTTCAGCTTTATCGAAAATAGCATAAAATATATACGCATATTTTTTTTTTCGTCGCCGGGACCCGAACGTGATTGTGATAAATTTTTGTGGGCGCGTCAATGACTTGATTCTGAGTCGAAAACTTTTACATACTACTCATTTCGACATACGTGTTTTCAATCACCAATTTTATCCAGATTTTTTTTTATTCATACCAAATTTGGCAGAAGAGCGCATTTTGATTGAACGAAACTGCGAAGCTAATCCAACACGGTATAAATCGTTATTTTGTGCAGAAGTGCGGTAGCGTGTGCTGGCGTGATACTGACCGAACTGTGATAAACGAAGATGATGTTTTCTATACATAAATTGCTCATTGCAACTGCACTTCTGGCCATTTCCTTAGTACATGCATACGTAGTCAATTCTGATGACTCACTATGTAAAAGGTAATTTTTTTTTTGATTTTGTATTTTATACCATTTAAATATTAAGATAATTCTCGTGTAAAAAAATTGGTTACAACAAAGTTTTCTGATTTACAATTCAAAGGTCAAAACAGAATTTGAGCATTAACTTGATGTTTTTAGTTGACATTTGCGTTATTATTTTCACAGCGTCTTTGTTCTGTTTACGTTTACGCTTAGAGTTCGAAAAGAAAGTGTTTTTTTGTGTGTGAAATCGTTCGGTTTCATAGTACATTGTTGATAACGATATCAGTCGGTTATTTTGAATGTCGAGGTCGTGTAAAATTCGAGTCCATGCTTCTTTTCTAAATTTAAACAACGACCTGCCGCCTCAAAACAGCTGTAAACACGTTCACGTCACAAATCCATCAATATGTCTTTATTTGCAAACACAAATGGATTAGCAAAAAAAAAACTGAAAGAGAGCCCAACATGGGTATTTGAATATATGGCGGAAATACGTGGTTATAAATCAAATAATATGATATTTTTATGATGTGTCAAGGGAATTCTTTTATTCACAACTTATGGCATAACTTCCTTAAGATATACACATACAGTTGGAATAAAATGGGTCTATATCGATATTTGACAACATCATTGCTTCACTTTGCATCTGTATTCACTATCATCACAGCGATATACGTATTCTAATCAAGTCTCAAATGACACTTTCATTCTTTTATACAGCGAGATTTATTGCAATGGCGATGTTTTACATACGATTCAGATGGCAAAATTATACAACGATTCAAAAACTTTCGTCGATAAGAAATTGAAACAATCACCACAAGAGACGGTAGAACGATTCCATGAATTTATGGCAGAACACGGTGACAATCCAAGCAGAGATGATATCAATCAATTTGTCAACGTGAGTTTATAAAAACGATTTATTTATTTTTATTTCCATTCATAAAATGGATATTCACATTTTCATTGTACCAATTTGTTTTTTTTTTTCCAAATCGCAATGAATATATAGACAAACTTCGAAGAAGGTAATGAGTTACACAATTGGGTACCGGACGATTGGATCGAATCACCGGCATACATAAGCAAAATTAAAGATGTGACATACCGCGATTTCGCAAAGAATTTAACAAAAATTTGGAAGATTCTGGGAAAAATAATGAAAGATGAAGTTGCTGTAAGTTGACCATCGCATCGATTTCAATTCAAAACACAATTTACTAAAAAAAAGTTGTTTTTGTTTTCGCTCATATTTCAATCGTATCGGTAGAATAATCCCGAATTGTATTCAATAATTTATGTAAAACATGGAATAATTGTGCCGGGTGGACGTTTTCTTGAATTCTATTATTGGGATACCTATTGGATCATACGCGGTTTATTACAATCACAAATGTACGAAACAGTGCGCGGTATGTTGCGTAATTTCTTTTCGATAATTGATCGTTATGGATTCATACCAAATGGTGGTCGTATTTATTACTTAACGCGAACACATCCACCAATGTTGACAAGCATGGTTAAATCTTATATCGATTTTACAAACGACAAAGAGTTCATAGCAGAGGCTTTACCACGATTAGAAGCTGAATTTGATTATTTCCAACAAAATCGCTTGCAAAATGTCAATGGTTATGAAATGTATACGTATGGGGCACCGATAACAAATGGCCCCCGTCCCGAATCATACTATGAAGACTACGATATGGCTCAACGATATTTTAAAACTGATAAGGAGAAATTTAAATTTTATGTAAATATTGTTGCGGCCGCTGAAAGTGGAATGGATTTTTCAAGTCGATGGTTCATCAATAATGGTTCGAATAATGGTAAACTGTTTGAAGTTCAGACTCGTTCCATTGTTCCGGTTGATTTAAATGCAATGATTTATTTTAATGCCAAAACTATTGCTGAATTCCATAACACACTTGGAAACACAAATATCGTCGAAAAGTATCGGTATAAAGCACAGAAATTATTTGAAGTGAGTTGAAACGTCGATCACATGTGATCATTGATTTAAATTTGATGGCCTTTTTTTTCTTTTCGAAATGGCATAGGCTGTGCAAGCAGTGCTTTGGAATGATGAGTACGGTGTATGGTTGGATTACGATTTGATTAATAAAACACCACGACCATATTTTGCGGCAACAAATCTATCGCCATTGGTATTTGAATGCTATAATACCACTGATAAACCATCAATTGCTCGTAAAGTTCTCGCTTATATCAATAGAAATGAAACCAATATCGATCGATATCCCGGAGGCATTCCCAATACATTGCTGGGCACTGGCGAACAATGGGTATGTATTTATTTGTATACATTTGCATGTATAGAGTTTTTATATTTCTATGTATGTACAGGACTATCCAAATGCATGGGCACCGATGCAACATTGGATTAGCGAAGGATTACGTACACTTGATGATCAAACGGCAACCGATCTTGCAAATAAATGGACAAAACGATGGATTTTATCCAATTTTATCGCTTTCAAGGAGTCTAATTATACAGCAATGTATGAAAAGGTAATTTTCAATTTATGTTTTCCATTTCCGATACAACAATAAAATGATTCGGTGACCATAATGAATCAATGACATAATTGTTACGAATTCATCTTTTCGAAATTTTTAAATTCCTTAATTATTCCAGTATTTGGCTGATACATTGGGTGGTCACGGTGGTGGAGGTGAATACGAAGTACAAGTTGGATTTGGCTGGACAAATGGTGTTATTATTGAATATTTGGCAAAATATGGCCATAATATAACAGCATTCAGTTGAATGTGATACGTACATTCAAATTATATATAGTTGAAGTTGCCAAAATATTGCCAAATAATCATAATACAGATTCCAGATGTATCACATTTTTAGTTTGTCTTTCAAATAATTTCTTGCTTAATTTATGTTTGTTTTTTGTTTCCTGAAATTACTTATTGTAAAACAAAACCGTTGAAAGTATTCAATAAAGTCAGTTACTTACAAACAAACTCATTTGAATACACATACCGTTGATTTTGAGTGAATTTCGTTTTTTACGTTCACTATCACTTTAAATTGGCAAAAAGGTAGAATCGGAGAGCATTAAACAAAACTTTGACTGATAGTAACCACCCTTCCTTTAAATATTGGTCTGATGAAATGTGCTAGCAAAAAGTCGACTTGAAAATAAAGCCGTAAAAGAACCTACTTAACTAAATGTGTTATAAATAATGCATTGGTCGTCAAAGATGAAATAAAACCATGTGATTCATTTAAATCAGCAGTTAACTGTATCAGTCTTCGTTTCAATTACATGTCTTTGTCCTTTTTCTCGTTCGTTATTCATTCATATGAATCGAATCGAATTTAATCTAAAGATTTATGAGTTTGTCTTTTGGATGATAAAGTTCGTGATGATCCAACTAATCATGGTGTGACAACGACAATTGTGCATTCTATTGTATTCAATTTGTGTGCATTTTTGTTGTTTTTGTTGGGACTGACGTAAACCGAAACGCATCCATATGTGTCCAGACATACAGTAGTCTGAGTCTTGAAACTTTGAGCGTAAGGCATTCGCTCGCAAACGAAATGAAACGAAGCGAAAAAATGGCAAGTTGATCCGAATAAATGACAGAAATAAAATTTCAATTTTCTTACATGGTATACACTACACACAGTGCGTAGTACACACGATAGAGAGATATAGTCATTTAGCTTTTTGTTTGCAACGTTCATAAAATCAACGATTCAGTCAAAATTGGTCGTTTTCACGCTTGTCTTGCGCTCCCATTGTGTGAACTGTCTACGCCAGTTGTACGCTCGAATCACTGCATGCGTCTCTTTTTCTTTGGTTTCATTGAAAGTGACTATGTGGTGTGTGTGTGTGTGTTATCTTCGACAAGTGCTTTCTGTTGACGTTCACTAGAATTTTCTATCACTCAACACATGAAAATTCCTGAATTTGATTCAATTATATTAACATGTACACGTTTATATCACATCTTGCTACCAAGAACAACAATTGAAGGCCAACACAAGGCCAATTTGTCCCCAGAGCACTGTTTCACACAATACTGTTCATATTGTTTGCTGTTTTGTTTTTATTTTTATCTGCTGTTCTTTTCCTCCACGTTATTTCCACGTTTCATTGTCTTTTTCATTTCTTCATTCGACATTCATTTAGTTGCTTCCTCGATGTTTATCAGATGCTTAAGTTCAAATACTTCAACTATAATTGTGTTATGTCAACAAAATAATCAGTTGAATACGCACATTGAATGGCTGACATTGTCAGCATAATGCACTGCAAACATCAGCTCCAACGAGAGGAAAATAATAAAACACACATAGAGAGAGAGAGCATGTTTTTTCTTCTCCTACGGTAGAAAAGCATGTGAAAGAAAGTCTCTTCACATTGAATTTTACTCTAAACAATATTTTACAACAATATAAATAAATATAATATAAGGAGATGTTGCTAATTAAGTTTAAATTTGTTTGGATTTATTTATCTAGCAGACAGTTGAATCGCATGAAAACTTTATCGACAATGTAAAGGCACAATGAATGACGAATGATTGTAAAAAAAATGGTTCACTTGATTTTTCTGTCATCTTATCCATGTTTGGCGACTGTGTTTCAAGAGCGTAATGATACCTTGAACAATGCGTATCAACAATGGAAATCCAATAACAAACGTAAAGTGCAAAGTTCTATCAGTTACAGCACAAATTAGCACACATCACGTAGGTTTCGTTGAGTCTACAATTATATCGAAGAATTTTTTGAAGCTTTAATGCGACCGCATTGATATGTTTTTGAACGATAAATTGCAATTGTGTGGGCACGTACGCCATACGGTCACCTACTCACATTTTTTTAGACCGCGATTTTCCTCTCGATGTATCACAATTTCAATGTACTTGCAAAGTAAATACCACATGAATATTACCGGTCACGTAAAAACCGTTTGTATTTGATTACAACGTTTATATACTCAACGGAAATATCAATTTCGCATCTCTAATTAATAAAAAAATATCAATATTTAACAAATACATTGAACACTTTGGCAGGCAGCTGCACTCTAATAAAAGACACACTGCGCTGGTCTTGTTCTCAATGCAAAAAGATGAAGAGAAAGAAAAATAAAGAGAAGAAATGCAGAATAAATACCTATTGCTTGTGTTTGAGACAAACTGAGTATATCTAGCGAAGTACTTCGTCACACTGGTTAGAATTTTTTTAATAAAATTAGAATCATAGCGTGTTTTCCTAGCTAGGTATCATTGTTTTTTACATGATATGATGCCATCCAATGATTCATCTTTGCCTAGATATATGCTTTGCATAAAAATATCCGCATACTACAGCGTATGAAGGAATAGAGCGACGGAGCTGTGTTGTGTGTGACGTATAACATATTGTCGCTCAGTTCCTTCACATGCTGGAGTTTACGCAAGCAACAAAGCGTCAGCGCATATATCTAGGCAATGATGAATCGTTGATGCCATCACTCAAAGCAGGATAGAATTATGTTCGGTTTTCTATTCACATTTTTCCACTTCTCCATTTAAGATTGACCTTTAAGTTGTTCTCACTCAACTAATAACATTTTAAAAGTTTCCCATAAATCGACATTTAATTACAATTTGAACATTAAATGCAAGACACAACGGTGAAGTAATAATTAAATTGCTCCATTTATTGAACAATAATTGAAAACATTGTGAAACAATATTTAATAATGATAAAATTTTATCCAAAAACTAAAAATTCACGTATGATATACTTGGCGATAAATTTATAGTAAAAGAAATTCTCATGGAAAATTCTCTATTTTGAAATTTAATTCATTTTTCATTAGGAAGTGCTTAGTTCTTAGCAGTCTATGTATTTCGGATGGATATCCATCCGAGATATTTTAGAATATCTGGATATTCAACGCAACTGCACAGCGCCAGAGCTGCGTGCATCGCAAATAGAATCTACGGTATGTCGCGACGTATATGTGTATCAAGTGTCGCACGTACACAGTCACACTGTGTCTGTATTTTACGTGTAGCGACATACCGTAGATTATATGTGCGACGCACACAGCTCTGGCTCTGTGCAGTTGCGTTAAATATCCAGATATTCTAAAATATCTCGGATGGATATCCATCCGAAATACATAGACTGGTTCTTAGGAGCAGAGAACCCCTAAGTGAATTGTGTGCTTGCATTCTTCAGCATTCAAATTACTTACATAATTGGCTCAGCAAATGCTCGGTAATGACTGCTTGAATAGATTCTACGCATTGAAACGTTGACATAATTTTCGACAGGAAAAAAGTCCAATTCAAAAATATTACGTTTCTTCTTCGTTCTCGACTCAACTCTCACTATTTTTTTTTATCGAAGCAAATGTTTATTATATTTCTTCCTTGCTGTTTTTTGCATTTTTCCGTTGTCTTGAAAATCAAACAGAAAAATATCTCACAAGAATAGAGAAAAGGTGAATAGAAAAGTACAAAAAGCTTGTTTACCTATGAACGCAACGGAAGAGGTGTTTGAGGAGAATGCGGCGACCATCGTCATTAGCCATTCAATTGAGCTTTAATTTGTAAATCGAACTAAAAAAATATCATAACTAGCATAAATACGGGTTTTTAAATCTTTTATTTAATCACATTCACTAATGAGAGTCGACAATGAAAATTAGGCTACACATCTAGGCTTATATCACTATTTACTTTCATTTGTCATACATTTTTTTGAAATCATTTTTAACAAGTTTTTTCCTCTTCTTTGGCTATGATAACACGTTTTCTTGATAATATTAACGAAATATAAAATCCCACAATTTATTTCAAAAAAATATTTACAAATGCATCTTAAAAGTTAATTAAGTAATTGGAGAAGAGTTTTTATAAATTAGAATTCGCTCTAGAATTTTTCCGGTGTGCGCTGGTATCGAAGATTTTTTGTTGAAGATTCAACGAATACGACATCTATTAAAAGACATAAAGTTTTTTGTTACTGAAGGACACACTGACCCTGATTTTGTGTGTCTGTTTGTATTGCAAATTCTGCACTAAGTTGTCAACCGTAGCTGCTTGTGCAAAATTTATAACACATACGCATAAACAGAATTGAAGTGTGTTTCTTAGTATTACAGCGATAGCCATATTGTCTTTAATAGGTGGCGTATTGTTGAATTTTCAACAAATATTTCCATACAAAAAGTGCTTCACCAGCGCCCACCGAATTTTTCATTTTCTGATAGAAAGTGTTAAACTATATATTTTGGGTAAGGAAGTTTTAATAATTGTTATGATTGTTTTTCTTTTGCACTTAAATAAATATGCACATTTTTTTAAACCTAGGCCGGTATTCTAATGCCACTTTCCGATCAATTTGTTCGGAATTATTCCGAAAAACATATTTCTATGAATGAATATTGTTTTGAATAATATTGTAGCACATAACGAGAATAATAGTCGTTATTCATAAGACAAAAAAAAATAAACAATATTCCACTTATTTTGTTCGGAATTATTCCGACACCTCTTTCAACAGTGGAATTATTCCGACAATATATTGAGCGGACTATTCATTTGAAACTTATATTTTTTTGTCTTTTCAACGTTTGGCGTCAAATATGTACACCAAAAGTACCAAAATATAACTTTAATAGAGCTCTACATTTGTCGCCAAACATTGAAAATATAAAAAAAATTGTTACACACTCAAAATATTAGCTACAGTCAGGCGCTGAATCGGACTGAAAACAATAGAAGTGGTTGTTATAGTGATTGTAGTAATGTGAGTGTTAATATAATTATAACAATAATTTTTATTGTTTTCACTGAGCTGAGTTGTTTATATAAACAAATGATTCCGAACGATTTTTGTGGATTGTTCTAGAATACCGGCCCTAGTTAGCCTTACTTTCTACGAGTTTTGATCAACATATCGGTGAAATTGAGCAATATTTATCGAATGTACTATGGCTGATGCACTCATATAAGCTGGCGTATAAGCTAATTAATAAAATGATAGAAATTATATGAACTTGAAAAATAATGAGCTTTTATATATTTCTCGAATTTTTCACATCATTGAACTTTCTGAAATGAATGGAGTGAGAAAATTACAAAGTTTGGAAGCGTATTTTGAGATTAGCCAGCTTAGAGAGATATGGAAATATCACGAAAAAGCGGTTTTGTGAAGTAGAAAATTAACTTAATTGAACGAAAATGTTATTGGTGAAAAACACATTTACAACGTTTTAATGGATGATTCCATTGATTTTTATTATTGTTGTTAATACTTGTTTTTATTATTATGCGTACTTGGAAGAGTTGTGTTGAAGAAATATGCAAAAAAACGGCAAAATGATTATTTAAAAAAGAAATCACCTTACGAAGATGTGTTTTTTATGATGTGAATGGAAAAGATTGGAGGTCCGTCGAAGCTTTTACGTCCTTGGTCATCTCCTCAAACATACACATAGTAAAACCGGATGGCGGTATGCGCTTGTTTCCGTTTTTCATCGAACTTCAAATTAAACTCGTATATACGTCACGAGTGCGAGGTACAAAAGAAAAAAAGAAAAACAATATTGAAGCCAATCGAATGCTCATTTCCGAAATCTCAATTCGTATCTCGTATACTTCTATAAATTCGTCTTAATACTTTGTGATCAACAGAAGTTGGTGTTCAACAGCCGATACAGATAGAAATTTGAAACATACAAAACCGCATCATCGAACTCAATCATACTCCGTATTGATTTATCGTACGCAAATTTATTTACGTTAAACAACATTTTCATTCGATCCAAATGAATCGATTTGATTTAAGCTAATATCGCATATCAAACGCCGAAACGAAATTAATTATGGCTTATGTAAACAATCAAAGCTGTAATTGGCATCGATGTAGTGCGGGCACTAACCCATTTCACCCGTGTTCTCTCGTTGTGCCTTTCAAATGGCACAATCGCAGTAGTCTGCACCTTTGCGTATTCAATGATGATACTGTTCACTTGTATTCAGACGTACAACTAATGTCACACACATACACATACATAGCTACACTCTCACATCTCTTTCATTCTTTATACATATACTTTGCGTAGGTGCAGACTTCTGCGTCCGTGCCATTTCAAAGGCACATAGAGAAAACACGGGCATTTTTCAAGTACCATACCTGTGTACTAGAAAGAGCGACACTTACAAGCAAAGTACCCGCACCTCCACGGTGACTACAACAGCTCTGCAAACCATTTCCGTTTGCTTCAGTATTAGAACTAGTCTATAATTTTATAAAATATCAACATTGATGCACATAAATCACTTTCCATCTAGCTTTCCATTGCTTTTTGGAAAAATGAAAAATAAAGTACTTGTCATCAAATCAGGAAGAAACCTTTCACTTCGTTCTTACATATTCATTGGTCATTGTGGAATTATAATATTTTTTATAGTTAATCATGAATTTTCTTGCAAAAATGAAAGGATGTTTATCAAGATGTGCAATATATAATTGATATGATCGCTTACACAAAGTTTGTGCACTTAATTTCTGATTTTCTGACGTGATTTTTTAGATTTGTTTTAAAAAAACTACCAGACTATTATAAATGACACAAAATTGCAAAAACAACAGTAAAATCCCAATTTAACGGAATCTCGCTGGACCCAAAAAATTTTCTGCTATCTGAGGATGTCCTTGGTAAAAGTCGTTTTATGTCGAAAATATGAATATGGGTCAAATCCAAAATCCGCTATTCGGCGACTTTCCGCTAAGTGGACTTTCCGTTAAATAGAGATTTCACTGTATATCTCACTTTAAAATCGTGTTCACAAACTCTATTACGAAATGTTATTGTAATGAAACATAATTGTGATTGTACATTGACGAGATACAGTAAATTTTCACAGATTTCGGTTCATTTTCATTTGTTTGACACTGTACACGAATCCGATGGCTCAATGTATAATCTATAAAAGTTTAGTGAATTAATTATCAATTCCTTATTAATAGTTAAATTTTTAAATGTTCACTTCGAAACTATTCTATATGACATATCACTGTAATTGAGCTCCAATTATTAAGTTGGGGAAAAAATATACTTAAATATCTACGTTAAGCCGATCCGAAGGCTTCACTTATTCCAAAAATCCATGATCACATATCCGGAAATGTCATAACTTATGGAAAACGAAAAACGTTGATAACGAGCTGAACAAATTTCGAATTTTTCGAATTTTTCGATTTTTTAAATCAAAGTCGACTTTGAAAAATCTTTTACAAAGACAAAATGATTAGCTCGTCATCGGTTCTTTGTTTTGTTCTCTGATAGCATTATTCCATAGGATGTTTCCATTTACAGTCTATATTGGTCTCGATATAGCCAATGTTAAACGATGCATTGAATTGGTCGATGGTATTGTTTGGGGACGTTTATTCTGGAATTGGTTTATCCATATCGATGCCATAGTTATTATTTCCATTTGGAAATATTGTGATGGTTGTCTCTTGTAGTTGCCTCGAACTTGATGATTTGCACAGATACAGGAATAAAAATGGGAAAACAATTGTGAGAGAGAATGATATGTGGCGAAAATGCAAATCGGGCTACTCTTTCGAAATGTATTCTTTGACAAGCGCAAAATGTTTTAATTTGTATTTTTTTTGTTTCGCCATATATAAGTCCATTTACCTGCCTAACATCGTCTGTTGACAGTAGCGTTTCGATGGATAACGACGCGATATTGTGCTCGTCAATGACATATGATTCCTTACTGGCTTACGTGGACCTTTACAGAGTAAAAACCTAAACGTCCTGATGTTTTAATGGTGTAATCGCATTCAAAGAATCCAATACACAGAAAAGAAAATTGAGTGCGACCAATTGCAAAAGAGAGAGAGAGAAAAATAGAAAAAAACAATCAACATCACACAATTTTCCATAAAAATGCCATTGCTTAAACAAATCTATGTACATGGAATTTGAGCAGTGAATATACATTTAAATTTGTATGAGACAAATGCGCACGAAAATGGGCAACATTTCAGTTAAATTATTAATGAAATTTGCTTGTTTCGCGCAACAACAACCTATCTCATGATGAATGAAAAGAAAAAAGTCAATGATGTGGGCGATAAAAAATATAAAGTCTTCATTTTTCTCTCTTTTATTCGTTTTTAGAATATTTACAGTATTTACACAATGAAAACAATAATAATAAATGAAAAGAGTAATTGAAAATGTTTCTTGAAGCTCAATTTAATTGAGCGTGTGAAACGTGATGTAAATGCCTTTATATGTGTAGAAATCTCAAGGTTTATTTCATGCTGGAATTGTGATAAATGGACTCTATTCCAATTTACACTCATTTGAAATTTAATATTCGAATTCAATTTAATTCCATTTAATGTGCAATATCATTTGTGTGATTGCATTATTCCTGCAATTTCCCTCGGTGGATTTACGCCACCAAAACAAAACACATTCAATCGATTTGAATGTGAACCATTATAGATTTTTGAAGCCCGACAAAATAACATTTTCTTTAGATTACGTCTCCAGACGTCAATCGAATCAAATTCCAATTGAATTCGAAATCAAACGAATCGAAGCTTAAATGTTTCGTTTAATTTTTAATAACAAAAACGTTTTCTTCCGGAGAATTTTCAAACAGTTTCGTTTATATGCATTACATTACCATACGTTTCTCACTGAGAGATTAAGGGTACTGTTTAAAAACGTTCGATGTACATGATGATTCCGGCATGTATGCAATGTTATGTTTATTAAACAGTTTAATGACAATAATGTCGAAAAATGGCAGAAATTACCGTGAGAAGGCGCTGCATATTACGTGTAAAGGCTTCGAATGTGAATAAAATAAACATTTTGAGTGTTGAACGAAGAAAAAATAAATGGAATAAGCGATGGCGCGACATTCAATGAATAGTGCAACAATAACACACATACAATGACAGTATTGAATGGCATTTCAATGTATTTTTCTTACCTGTTAAAATGTTTTCGAAATGCAGCACTCACAAAATACAATGCAATTGGATTGGCGCAACTATTTCCGAACGATAAACAAAATCCGATGATACGTAAAACATGCCAAAAGGTGTTGTATTCTGCGTGTGAATTTTTACTGCAAACATCGGTCACATACATTCAAAAGGCCCAACACATCAGGATTTGTTTTTTTATGTGTGTTGCACGCGAAATGGCATCAAACGCAGACGTCATTGACAAAACGGGAGAAAAGAAATAAAATGGGGGAAAAAATATATTATATTTCAAATGCATTTTGATGACAAAGAGCCTTGCAAAGGGAAAACATGCAAGGTAAACTAGTTAGAAGAAGTGAAAAAGAAAGTATCTATATTGAATATAAAGTTGAAAAGTCAGATACAGCAATAGAATCGTCGCGGATGCAGCTAATGTATTATTGAAATGCCTCATTTCAACAAGAGGCGTTGTATTTTCATGTCGGGCACAATTGTTCCCCAAAGAAAAATCCGACTTATTCGCGTTCATTCTTTTCAACGTTTATGTGTTACTTTCGCTCGCATGGATGGCGACGAAAAGCTCTTGCTGCCCCACAATCATATTTTCCAATTATCGGCTGTTCAATACATGCTTTGTCTAGATATAAGCAACAATAGAACCAATGCCATTGTAGCGACATCGAGAGAAAAATAAACAGAATCCATACGACGAATGTGAGAGCATCATGTAAGCTTCATATATTACAATGATATCGGTATTTGTGTGTAAAATAAAACGAATTCGCACTGCATTCATGCAACACATTCGAACGTGTAAAATAAACTTTGTTACAACCACTTCCATCGTACCACATACCGATGCCAAAGACGATGAATTGCAAACGATTCCTTCGAAACCGTATACTCTCTATTCTATTTACAAGTTATAAAAATTCAATTGCCAAACTTTTGTGCGGTTTGGTTTGTATTCATTTTTTTTTCTCTCCCTTTGAATTCAATTTCTTTTTCCACAGTAGAGCGTGCAATTCTAACCGAATTTCGTTTGCATTTTCCTTTTGTCCTTGCATTTGACAAGAAAAAAAACATGTAAACTTTAAACTTTGTGTGTTGATTGTGTGATTGTGCCTCACTCATTTCAAATGACAATTTTCATTTTTACTCACTTGAAATAAAACCAAAGCATAAAAGCGTGTTGTGGAAAGAAGCAAATGCAGAATATTACGACGAATGTTATAACTGTGATGGCCACTTTGCGTCGGGCTTTTACCTACGAAACGGAGAAATGTAAACGATTAAGGTTAATATTTGATTGGAGCGTACATACTACTTATAATATAAATGGATAATTAAGGTTTGGCCATTTTTATTACGGAGTAAAATATAAACATGGTTTTTTATTTGAATCAAGCCAAACGAGAGAAAAAAAACCTTTTGACCTCGAGATAATCGATGCAAGCAAAGCCAAAATTTTATGGAAAGTTGTTTGCAATGGTATGTGTGGTGTGTGTATGCTTTTATCTTTACGGAAATTACAAATGTTCATAGAATGTATATTAAATGTAGAAATTGTAGATAGATACCTGTCGCACAGCGCCTTGCATTTCACCAGGAACACCAGCACCGTAGGCTAAATGTACAGCGATCATAATATAAAATAGTCCAATAATTACTAATGGAATTGCATAATAAACCAAAAATTTGGCCAAGACAACGGCCTTCGGATAGTCGGGTCCCCATTCTTCTGGAAATGGATAACAGTACTTGAACGATGTATGTTTGTTGACATACGCATACTATGGACGACACAGAGAATGAAAATAATAATAATAATTAGAAAATATACATCCGTAAAATACAAGTGCGAATACAAATATGGGGCTTTTTGTATCAATTTTCACAAAATGTTTTCTATTCTGTCTATCTTCATGCACGAAAAACAAAAGTGTTCAATGTGTCTGCATATGACATTTGTTCGGTACGTTCATATTCAACAAATGAAAGATATTTATGCATGAGGAAAGAGAGAATAAAATTGTTTTGAATGTGGTTTCATTGCCACATTTATTGAAATTAAAATTGATCAAACAAATACATACCTTCACATTGGATCCAATCAATGCTGGAATTGCACATATAATTGCCAACATCCAGATAAATGCGGCAATTATAAAGGTTGCAAGCGTTGTACGTTTACCAGAAACACCTGTGCACATCATTTTCAAAATATTCACAAATAGAGAGAGAGAGAGAGAGAGAGAGAGAGAGAGAGAGAGAGAGAGAGAGAGATGAGCCATTCAACCAATAATAAGCCAAATAAATTTAAATCGAATTGGATGACACTGTTCAAACACATTTGTCCGCATATTTCGTAATGAATTGTGGATTTTGACCAAAATTCATTTGAAGCTTATAACCATTTCATCGACAACTAATTAATAATGATTTATTGTGGCGTCTATTCTTTATTGCCTTTCATTTTTAAAATTCTATGTGTATTGTCTATCATATGATTTGTTATTTATCGAAAAGTACTAGCCAACATTTAAAACCATTTCATGTATTAAGCGCAGCCAGGAGCTTTTGATTTATTAATTCGCATGCTACGTTTATTGGATACAGTCTCAAGTATTTTGCGGTGTATATATAACAAATAGCATTTGCTACATTTCTATATATTTCTCATCGTCTTTCGATTGTGTACCACTACAGTGTGTGTATGTTTGCTATTTGCATAGAATATTGCGGTCGATTCGAAGGCGTATCGTGACAACTAGTTAGAACGAATAAATTACTACTTGATTTATATACGTATTAAATGATTATCTTTTCACATGCATTGTTATGTGATTTTAGGGATTTTATCCTTCAATATGATAGAATACAACATTTATCACACACCCGCTCCCCAAACACGCACAATATGGAAAACATTCTCAACCGTTTTTTTTCATCTTCAATGCCACAATTGAAAATGTTAAAGGTAATACAGATGTTTTTGGGCCCACAAAATGGGTTAAAATGTAATTTTAATCACATACTTCAGCAGATGGTCAACACATGACCACCATCAACTATAATAACAACAAGAACAACAAAAACGTTTACACCAATGTCAACTTACCAGTGCCACGAAATCTTCGCAACGGATTTACGATGGCGACAAATCGATCAAGCGACATTGCGACCAAGGTAAATACTGAAACACCTGTCGAAAAATCTTTCATAAATTCGGATAGTATGCACATTCGATCGCCCCAAGGCCACGATTCTACCGTATACACAACGGATACAAATGGTACAGCCGTCAATATTAATATTAGGTCTGCTATCGACAGCGACAAAATATGCCTAAAACATCAAAAGTGAAAAAGTAAAAAAAGAGAGAGAAAAAAAATCGCAGCTTAGAGCATATTTCAACCATAACTATAATAACTACTAACGACATTTAATATCAACAAAATGTGTATCTATCTCCGGTAGGTATTTATTGTTGTTCTTGGTTGAATGCGGTGGTTGCAGTGGTTGGAAATGGGAAGAGAGAATGGAAGGGAGAGATAGAGAGAGAGCGAAAGGGAGGAAATGCGATACTATACCACGACATAAATAGAAAATGGAGCCAAAACAAAATATCTCTATTTCTCGTCGCTATACATTGAATAATGTTAATGTAATGTGACTTCATTTCATTTGCGAAACCAGTTTCATTTAGCATCTAATATAATAGAAAATGTGATTTTACTATTTAAAATGCGCTAATTAAACATCGATCGATAATATCATGCGATTTCATTACATTCAAAACGTGATGCGAAGTGAATGCATCGATTCAAAGTCTTTCTATGGTTTGTACTATCATTTAAAAAATGAACGATTTTTTTTGGTTAAATTCAAATTAAAAGCATAGAAAAGGCGTATATAGTGAAAGCATGTTTTGAATGGTGTGTCGTGACAAGAGGTGGAGATGTGAAAATATCTAATATGATTTATTGAATTAAAATGATTAAATTGTGAATATTATGCGAAAATTGTTGGCATCCAGCCAACAAAATATCAAACTGGAAATGTTTACAATATTGACGAAAGACGAAGAAAAAGCCGACGTCGAGGCTTTTCTCATTCTATTAAATGTCTTCGTTGAAACCATTTGCACGTATGCCAATCGAAAGAGAGAAAGAGTGAGAGATAGTCAGCCTTTCAGCCGTTGGTAAGCTATTCGATAATTCAACAGACCCCTTTCCCCTCAATTCATTGATTATAAGAATATTCTTTGACAACACAGACCCAGAAAAGTCGACAAAACCTCCGAGATTTTATAGATATTTGATTAAATGTACTTTATGTCAAATTGTGTAGTGTGTGTGTGTGTGTTGAATTATCTTATTCGTCTATATGGCTGCAGATTTTTTTTATATGAATTTTCGCTGCTACTGATAGCAGAAGCTTCTATTCCTATTGATGATAATGCGTTTATCATCCGAATGGCATATTGAGCTTATTTTATTTTGAATTACAAGCATACGATTCGATGTTGGTGGTGGTGGTGGTGCCATTGGCGAAAAATTGCTGAAGAGAACGAATAAGAGAAAATGGCTTTCATTTTATTTACTGTTGTCATTGCAATTTGCCTTGTAGTTAAAGCTGGTGCTCACACGTTTTGTTTGAAGGAATGAGAGCGCATGTATGTGATTATCAGCGAGAAATTGATCAAGTTAGATCCAGACATGGTGGTGATTTTAGTTTGATACAATCCGAATTGTCTGATACAATTGTAAGCTTTCTAACACTTTTAACTCTGAATCGTATTCGAATATTTCGCCAAAAACAAAAAAAAAATCCAAATAAAAATATGCTCATTGATCATGGTAAATTTGCAAGTATGAAATGGTGACCGTCTTTTTATTGAGACTTGGATTGAATCATAATTTATGTCCTCCTATTTAGTTCAACATTTTGTCTTGTAATGGATATGCTTTTTGTTACCACAAATGGTCAATTTTATATGGTTTTTGTTTGTTCAATAAGGAGATTCGTTTAGTTTTCTCGAAAACCTTCGAAATGTTCGTTCGGAGCTTGACAACGTTGTTGCGCAAATTACATTTGCAATAATATCAAAAAATTGCCTTTGAGGAAAAAGTACCACAGCACACGAGATTGGATCGAAAATAAGGAAATGAAAGAAAGTCAAACCATAAGAAGAATAAATGTTTCGAACATTTCCAATTTTATGTAGTGATTTACTATGACCAATTTACGGAAGTTTCTCTCTTTCGCAGTCTCTCGTTCATTAGCTCGTTCATTAAGCAAATTTCGTAAAAATAACAACTTTGTGTTTCTCGGTGTTATTCTATAAAAAATGTGTATATTTTCGGTATGGAAACTGTATGAATTAAACTTACGTGTTGGGTACATTTCGCATGGCCCGATGTTTAATAATAACGGCTATTAGCATTCCGTTGCCCATAAGACCGGCCAAAAAAATGATGCCAAATATAATGGGTACGATATATGTTTCGGGTCGATATTGATAGCCTTTGTACGACACTTCTTCGGTATTGATTGGCGTGGTGGCCGCTGTTGCATTTGTATCATTGTTGAATTCGGTTGACCATGAATCGGTTACTGTATTAATCGAATCGCTCAATTCGATCAGTGATTGTGTGATGACCGACCGCAGCTCAGACCATTCGCTTGTGGATGAATGCACCATCATTTGGCTATTGTGGTTTTCCACTTACCGCTAATATGGATCCGTTTTAGTATACACACAAATACACTACGGATTAATTTCCGTCCCTTTTGGTGTGGCCAAAATGAAGTATAGCTCTTTGAAAACAATACTGTTTTTTTTTCTTCAAATGAATCGAACTTGATGCTTTCTATACATTACACGGTTTTTTACATTTATTCGGATTTCATTTTCTCTGTGCATCTTTTGACCTCTGGTAGAAACTTGCCTGGAAGAGAAAAGAGAAAACATAATATAGAATCGGGATAATTATAATTTTTTAACGCTATATGAAATGATTGGACAAGTCCATCATTGTATTTTTTTTACTGAAAAAGGGGTAAATTGCTAAAATTTGAAGATCTAATGACAAAAAAATGTTGGATTTGTTTGATTTCATACTTGTAGCGAAAAAAACTTCACTGCGATTGACAATAAAAATCAAAAAGTATACATAAATAGTCCAAAAAAATCGAAGGTCATCATGACTGAAGAATGCAACAAATCCAATAGCTGTACATGTCATGTAGGGCTAAGAAAATAGTTTAAAAAATGGTAACAAAATGATATTTTGAAAATATAAACGGTCAACCAGCTTAGCGAGCGAAGTGAGCTTTCTCTTGTTTTTTGTTAAAACAACTTGGAAAGAAATGTGACGAAACCAATGTTTATTGCCACAGAAATAAAACACGTTGGACAGTGTTTTTCACAGTGATTTTCAAATCTTCTTCAGTCAATTGATTGCACACGATACACACCATATTTCTCGCACATTTACAAATTTACCGCCAATTTATTTACTTTTAGCATTTTTTTTTTGTTCGCCAAATGGTTTTTCTGTTTAAAAGCTTTCGACAAGTACATCAACAAAGTCTTTTCTCGTCGATGTTCCCACAGTTCATGTCGTTAATTCTTCCACTTTTGTTTTTCATGCACGTCAAAGTGTCACCACTTATTTGGTTTTTATCAACGATAATATGTTATAGCACGATTGATGCTAACACAATAAAATCCCAAGTCAATTGGCGAAATAGAAAAAAAAACTTCGAAGCGGAAAGGAAGCAATCGATATCAATTTTTCTTTGCATTAATTGAATTGTCCAGTACGGTGGGCTTTATCGGTGGGATGATAGTTAAAAAGTTCCCACACAGAACATGGGAAACAACAAAGTAGAGTGACGTATGTAAATGTATAAGAGTGTTTTGTTTTATCTCACGTCACATTCATTTCTATAAGAATTATGGTAGTTATAGGTTGAAAAACGGAACAGGTTTTCACTGTGTCAAAAGCATCTAAGTTACTTATCAACACAACAATAATAATAATAATAAATTCAGCTTTGTTGGATATGGCTGGTGAACGCCCACACGCCATATCCAAATGCCAGGACGATTGATGTGCACGTGAAATTATAACCGCAACGGTTTTCGTTTTTTTTCTCAAGCCAAAGTATCATAAAAAGGTACTCGAAAAATACAAAAATAGCTTTGAAAAATAAAACCGGAAAAAAATTCATTAACATTTCACATGTGCACGGGCCATTTTTACGGTTTGAAAAATGCCCTCCAGTCTTGATACGGAATGATACTCAGCCACTTTTTTTTCGTAAAACGCAGAGTTCATTAAAAGTTCATATTGTAAGTACATATTCAACAGTGAAAAAAAATCAAGCTTTTTTGTCATGTAAATTGCTTGTGGTAAAATTTCAGCAGAACCGTCATAGTTCGCTTGCGTTACGGCGATTTTTCAACGAGTTTAAATGTTTTTTTTTGTAATTTTCGCTAGGACAAATTCAATCATTTTAAAAGCTTTGTATTCGTATGCCGTAGACAAAATTAGAAGTATGAGCCAAACTTAACGGTGGTGATAGAGAGCAATAAAAAAAGGAACTGGGAGTATTAACTGTCAGCGCATTTACGATTTATTTAAATTGTGAATTTACATAGAAAATTACAATGATGGCTAGCAAAATGTGGTTTGCACTGTCATGTTTTCGGCAAGGTCAAATTTGTTTTTCACCCCTTTTTGCAATTGTTCAGTATTAGAAAACGAATATTTGAAATTTGCATAAACTGTCTCACACATGCACCTATACATCATCAATTCACAATGGGTTAGCATTAAATGTAAATGTTTTGATTTGATTCATGTGTTTTAACACATAAACGTGTATGCCAGCAAAGTGGAATGGAAAAGAATATGCCAATTAGGTGCTAAAACAATCATATCATGAGCATTTCGACACGGAACTAAGAAAGAAAATCTGAAATTTATCGATATGCTTGACATGTTTTGACCAGGTAAAAAACACAAAACAGTCAATCGCTCACGATTGTATATAGAAATTAACATTGATTACAATCCTTCCCGATCTAGATCAACGATTGAAATCGTCAACGATTACAATCGTTGTTTAGGAAAATGCACCTTAAGCTTTTGCGGAAGCGTTCAACTGATTTTGATTTATTTTAAATGAAAAACTACACATTTCCTATTGACTGTATTCACGATATCCAATAGCGATAAAAATGAAGTTGCAATTGTAAATCTTGTTTACGAAACAAAGTCAATTTAATGCCCAAAGGTTTTTCAATGCCAATTACATTTTATGAGTATATCATGGGGTGAAACATATTTGTTGTCGGTTCTTTCTAGCAATACAGGGAATTTCATTAACTTGGGACTCTCCAATACATTAATTTACACAAAACGTTTTGCTTTAACTTGATTTCACAATGAGTCAAAAAATCAATAAAGAAATTAAATTCTCTTACTTGAATGCATTTCGAGACATCTATGCGCCTCATCTTCATCAAGTTAAAGCAAAATGTTTTGTGTAAATTAATGTTATTGGATTTCACGCCGTTCAACAAAAACATTTTACTCCAATACATGTTTTTATAAATAACCCAAAAAAAGGTTATGATCCATTTTCTTCACAGACTAAATTGATTAATTGCCGCTACTGGTAGATGAAATTCAGCACCTGACAATTTTCCGAAAAACGAAGCAATTTTTCCAGCACACAGAGAGAAAAAATGTGGTATTTTTAATTCAATTTTGGTAGATTTAACATAAAATCAACCAACAACGAATTAAATTTACCATTTTTGACATCTTTGAGGCATATTTTTGTAAAGTTCGTAAATGTAATGAAGCAGTTGATAAAAGTTATTCAACAAATAGTCACTTTTGAAAAATATGCCTCAGAGATGCCAAAAAAGGTAAATTTAATTCGTTGTTGGTTGATTTTATATTAAATATACCAAAATTGAATTAAAAATACGACTTTTTTTCGTTCTGTGCAATAATATGCAGGCCGTAATTCTAGTATATTGGTTTATGTATCCAAAATGCTCAAATTCATTGATCTATTGTTCTACATTTCATTCGGAATAGTACCTAATAAATCTCAAAGCTTGAAAAACAATGTTTCATTTTTTGCTCCTGACCCCTTGAGTAACAAAACTAAAGTTATTTATGATACACCCTTTAAAAGAAAAAAGGGAAAGAGAGAGGAAAGAAGAGCTGAAGAACCATTTCAGCAAATTTTACGTCGATTTCCGTTTTCTTTTTTTTTGTTATGTTGGCTCAAAAAATTTATCGTCTGTGGAAATACTTTGCGATAATTTGATGTGAATGGAGTGTCGCATTCCCGAAACTATTGCCAATGTTTTTCTTTACAGCAAATAGCATTGGGTGGAAGTGCAAAAACTGGACACATTTCAAATGATTTATCGTGATTAACATTTAACAACCATATCGTTAGAGAGAGAAAAAAACGATCGCACATGATTCGAAAATAAATCGGTAAAGTTTGTGACCGCAAAGTGACTGAAATGACTTTTAAATTCACCGCTGTAGCTTTATTTCATTTTCGTGCCAACAATTTACGATCACAAATGATAATTTCATCAGGCAGACGGAGAACGGAAACTATTAATCGGATTTATCGACACGCTATTTATAAAGCAAAAGTTTGCTAAATCGAGCCACATATGTCGAGAGTACACACATATCATCACTGTAAACGAACCCATAACTTAGAATACAGACAACTGTTAGTGATAGCTTAATCCACTTGAATATGACAACGTTGTCGTATGTAATCAAGTAAAAGTTCTCAAATTCCAATAAAGAAAGAAAAATAAACTTCATTCCGCTTGTACACTGATTGCGAAGTAGTTGATAATGATTTAACATACATGTAGCTGTCATTAGGTACTCATCGTCTCTTCATCCATTCGAAAATATGCAGATGTATTCATCACAGCAAGATATATAACTATGTTATTTTTTATTATTTTCCGTGCATAACAAAACGCGTTATTATTAACGCTGTCGTTAAATTTTCAATTAAACCAATGTAGAACACATTCAAAGTCAATTAGTATCATTTGAAATATATGATGCGTTATCAACATTGAATATTATTTTGCATTGGTGGCAGCGAATTAGAAAGTCGGAAGGATAAGGACATAATAATATTAAACCTTTTTTTAATGATAAAAATAATTGATGTAATGTATTTCGAACAAAAAACAAACGCGTCGAATTGAGAGAGATGACAATAAAAAGGAACTCATGACTGTTTTAGCAGTTTATCTTTTGAAAATAAGCAAGTTTAAAGCTGCAAATACAATACAATAAAAAGCAATTTTCCTCAATTACATTTAACAATGTCTTCTCCAAGAAAAAAAAAATGATCGAAATTCACATCGAAGGCGAAAAAACCGACGAAGATTTAAGAGCATGCGAAATTTTGAATTGAAAATGTTTGTGTCTGTAGATTAAATAAATGTAATAGACATCAGAACGGTTCTCCGGCATAGCATGATTTTCAATTGATTCAACGTGAGTGGTAAACGAAATCAAATTTTTTATTCGCGCTTTCCATAAGCTCTTGAAATTGTTGAAAGAAAAATATGCCAAGAAAAAGTTGAACGCTTTTCATACTGGTTGTTTTGGATGTCGTTGCTCTAGTTCGATGTGGCTCGTCGTTTTCAATCAACAATTTGGCTTGTTTCGGTCCTTTTACACTGGATCGATGCAAAAGAAGTGAACTTTTTTCATCTTCTTCGCTCTTCGCGATTTTGTTTATTTGTCAGCAACTGGATAACAATTTTGTCGTTGGATTTTTTTTTGCGTACTGGATGTCGGCAAAAATGTGTCACGATTTTCTTCTACCAAGTTTGACGATGACAGACACCCAAAACGGCACGCCATCA